TTTCCATTTGGTCGCACAGTGCATTGCCAGTACGTAGCATATGATCGTTTTGAGTGGACATTATATTTAAACCCAACACTATCTACCAGACTTATTTTTCTCCGTTTGGTCCCCTCCTCCACAATTCGATATGTTAGTGGGGCATGGTGGACTTCAACATTAGCAATTGGAGGGTCCATGAGAGAGGGCTCCACTGCTGCCGTTGTTGATGGCTCTTCTTGATTTGAGTCATTACTCACAGTGTCTTCACTTTCTGAAATACAGCAATTTCATAATAGTTTGAGGCTGGTTCACACTATCATAGTTTCTGAAGTCACAGTAGGAATTTTGCATGAGTATTAAACACTCAAATATATCAACATTTTATTTTTAGACTTATGACCAGGAGCAGCTGTAGACAATGCAACTATATGCAACAATATAACTTGCGGCCCTAAAAAACCTAAATGTCTAATCAAGGTCTCTGTCCTGTAAATTCTGTAAATTGCTCTTAAAATTGATTAGCTGTTTGAATCCTATGGTTACATATGATTAAAAGTTGGCTGAAGTCAGTACTCTTGAAGAGCCAATCAGATTCCAAGAAACACCATTCATTTCAAAATGAATATAATAAATTATTTGAAATTCCTCTATTGGTACTCTCGATCTGGATAAACTATATGCATACCTTGAATGTGGTTGGATGGTGTGCTGTTATCTTCTGCTGATCCTTCGGTTTCGTTTGCCATATCTACCAAAATGTTAACCAACTCTTCATCAATCAACTCATCATTGGCGGTCCTTGAATTATCTAAGTGCACAGCTAGGGAACAAACATATATGTGAGTAACAGTAACTGTGTCTTATGCGTGCACAATCCGAACGTGCTTTTTGCGTTACGAATTTGTACACGCCATAATATTTACAAGTAATATTTAGAGGGGCTGTAGAGAATATATGTTAAGAATCTGGAGGGGGGGGGTCACGAAGAAACGCTCGGTTAGCAAGTGCAAAAAATGGCAATAGCTTGCTTTCACAAACACTATACTATTACAGTAAGAGATTTGCTGTTGCAACGGTTTTTGATACTATATGATACTGTATGATACTATATGATATACTACATGATACTATATGATACTATATGATACTGTATGATACTATATGATATACTATATGATACTATATGATACTGTATGATACTGTATGATACTATATGATACTGTATGATACTATATGATACTATATGATACTATGTTGCCATAGCCGCGTATGTTGCCATAGCCACGAACTATATGTTACCAAAGCTGACATAATTTGAAAGACGAAACATCAAAATAGATGAATATCCTGATATCTACTGTATAAAACCTAAAAATACGACGTTTAAAACTGTCAAACTGTTAGCTATAGACACCTTAAATAAATATTTTAACGTTATACCTTCATTGTTTTGAGGTGGTGATGTGGTGCCGTGACTGCTGTCTTCAGCATTATCCGTCCTGGTCAGTGATGAGCCTACAAAATTAAGTGATGATGTACACAGTATTATTGTGGCAAATAATAAGTCTCTGTGCATGCAATTAATCAACTATATCATAGCTTTGAATTTGTTTAATTAATTTTCTATGAGGTTTACCAAGGTTTACTAAAATTTTAGTATAAGCCATAAGGTTTACTAAGATATTTACTATAACTTTTACTAATATTAACTAAATGAACTATATGAGCTCGTTTTCCCGCTGATTATTTCTCGTTCTCTCAAACTACCACACGTGTTTCTATATTCTGTATAGAAACACGGAAAATGTTTTTTTTATTTCTTAAATAACACAGATATAGTTACCTTGGCCAACTCTCGAACTCTCAGCGAGTGGTAAAAGAATCCCCGCGCTCATGTTCATGCAGTCGACACAACGCCAGTCAATAGCCTGCCCATTTCTGACAGCGTTTCTGTATTGCTGTCGAGAAATCCCACTGTTGCAGGTTCTGTGCTGCCATCTGTCACATCCATCGCACTGAATACCTTCTTGTCTTGCTCGGACGGGATCCTTGCAGCGAATGCACAAATCTTGATGGGCCATCGTGAACGAGTTTTGGAAGTGTAGTGTTGTGAAGCAGCCGCCAACGAGAAGTGAATGAAAATATTTAGGCTTTTCACGCTTTTTATACGCGATGTGTGCTATTCGGCGCAAACAAACAAACAACAGACAAAGGACTGCGTAGGATGAAGTAGTTTTCAACGATGACTCATGCTGCATGCATGCATGTTTTCGCGCAAATTAGCCAAACACTGACAACAACAACAACGACAAAAAAGACAATTAATTTAATTGTTTGGGTTGCACTGAGTAGTACATAGGCAAGATATATGTTTCAGGTAGAAAAGTCCTTACCGAGAGAAAAAATCCTTACCGAGAACTGTTGTTATACTGTCTCTGATTAGTTGCATGTCTTTCCGTAAGAATCACACTAGCTTGTAAATATATCTCTTAATGTTACCTTATTCACTTTTCAGCTGTTTACGTCATCTTCCTGTTTTGGTGTATATATATAATAAGATCTGGGCACGCTTGTAAATAATTAGCTTTGATATAAATGACTTTGGAATAAAGTTGAAATATCACCGTTATTTGCGCTATCTTGTTCGTATCTTGAGTTTGCATAGAGAATTATTCATGGGTGTGCGGAAATGGCAGATTTATTTCGAGTGTTGAAGATGATACAGTATCTCACGAGTGAGCGCAGCGAACGAGTGAGATATATGTCTGGTATTTCCAAGCACCCGTGTATTTTTCTGTTTATTATATAAAGGACAGTCTTTGAAAATCGATAATTTTTACAGAAAAGCGATAGTTCGGGAGTGTTTTTTGTTCTGCCGACGATTTAAGAAAATATAAAAAGAAGCAAATTCCGAAGAGTAAAGTCATCTTGCAATTGAGGATATGAACAAAAAAAACCTGTCATTGTAGCTGAAAAGGAATAATAAACGAAAGATTTTTGTATTTTTCACGAAAATAATGTTCATGCAAGTATACTATATCTTCACCAAAAGGGGGCTTACTAGCCGTGACTAATTACGTTGCCGTTGGCAACACTATTAATAGCGCAGGATACTGTTAATCCATATATTGTTTACGAGTTCAGTTTGGAGAGTGTATTTACTAGAAACAACGAGACATTTCGTGTGTTTAATTAATCTTCAAAATATAAGAACATCAGTAACATTGTCGCACAATACGCCTTTTATATGAACTACGCGACGTTGGCGAACTGACATAAGAACGTGGACGAGCGTTGGCGAATCGACTCGAGACGTTGGCGAACTGACCGTTGGCGAAACGACTCGTTGGCGAAACGACCGGATACCCTGTTGGAAGAACTGCAAGAACGTCCATTTTGTCCAAAACTATGCTCCGAATACATACTTCTTGCTCTTCTTTTAATTTAATGTTTGGAAAAAACTAAAGTGCCGCTTCTAAGGCAACTTTAAAATGGTCGTGCGCCATAAAAATACTTCGCCAAGACCAGAATTTACTCAAGAGTCAAGATTTATACTATATTTACAGAATCTTGATGATCATTTCCGGTGACGTAATATTTTGAGTGGTCTCATCCAATCAACGCTCAGTCCAGATTCTGGACTGAATAACGAGGAAAAATGCCACTTTTGTGTCAGGCCGTACTTTTCTCCCCTTCGCCCGCGATCAGGCGTGCCTGTGCCCTAAAAAGTACGGCCTGATACTCAGGTTAGGTGGGGTCTGGGTGAAACATTTTCAGATTGTTCTAGAGGGGGACTAATTTTTTAACACGTTAAATGGGGGAGGGGGGTTATTTTTACTAAACTGCTTGAATTTTATAAACCACCAGCCCCTCCCCCTAACCCTTAAATAATGAATCTTCTCTAAATATTGCGCATCTTTCTCGAACAAGAGAATCCACTAAAAGTATAATATCCCAAATCAAATTAAGTAATTGGTGTTTTATCCACTGTCTGCTTACCCTGGATTCCAGAGCCTTCGACAGTAAATAATAAATTGAAATGTCGCGAAGGCTCTGGTTCAACGGGGCGATTCTTTGATTGAACCGAGCCAATCACAAAACAGAATTAGTGGTTTTAGTACAGAATCTTCTCTAAATATTGCGCATCTTTCTCGAACAAGAGAATCCACTAAAAGTATAATATCCCAAATCAAATTAAGTAATTGGTGTTTTATCCACTGTCTGCTTACCCTGGATTCCAGAGCCTTCGACAGTAAATAATAAATTGAAATGTCGCGAAGGCTCTGGTTCAACGGGGCGATTCTTTGATTGAACCGAGCCAATCACAAAACAGAATTAGTGGTTTTAGTACAGAATCTTCTCTAAATATTGCGCATCTTTCTCGAACAAGAGAATCCACTAAAAGTATAATATCCCAAATCAAATTAAGTAATTGGTGTTTTATCCACTGTCTGCTTACCCTGGATTCCAGAGCCTTCGACAGTAAATAATAAATTGAAATGTCGCGAAGGCTCTGGTTCAACGGGGCGATTCTTTGATTGAACCGAGCCAATCACAAAACAGAATTAGTGGTTTTAGTACAGAATCTTCTCTAAATATTGCGCATCTTTCTCGAACAAGAGAATCCACTAAAAGTATAATATCCCAAATCAAATTAAGTAATTGGTGTTTTATCCACTGTCTGCTTACCCTGGATTCCAGAGCCTTCGACAGTAAATAATAAATTGAAATGTCGCGAAGGCTCTGGTTCAACGGGGCGATTCTTTGATTGAACCGAGCCAATCACAAAACAGAATTAGTGGTTTTAGTACAGAATCTGTACTAAAACCACTAATTCTGTTTTGTGATTGGC